GGCGAGGTGAGGCCGGGACCCCGCTGGGGCAGAGCTGCCCTCACCTGCCATGCTGCGGATGAATCGCTCCTGGCGGTTCTCGTAGAAGAGCTGGGAGCTGAAGATGGCCTCCAGGGCCTTGTTGTTGGCCTCCTGGGCACACAGAGCCAGCATCTCATCCAAGAGGGCCAGCTCGTGCTCCCGCATGGCACTCACTTGCCCCAGCGTGTGCCTGACGAGGCGCAGGATCTTGCGGTTGTTGATGAGCTGCTGGTCGGAGGCCGGGAGCCCCTGCAGTGCCTGCGCCCGCAGCCGGTAGTAGGAGAGGAGGAGGAAGAGGGTCTGCGGGTGCCGCTCCTTCTCCAGGTGCCGCTCCAAGCTGCTGAGGCACGACTCGACCAGGGGGTGAGGGCTGGACGGGTGGAGCCTCATCACGCTGCTGAAGACCATGGAGACGTCCTTCTGGTTGAAGCGGCCGAGGCGGCTCCGGGACTCGTCCTCCAGCACTCGCACCAGCGGCGACTCCCCGGGCAGGCCTGCGGCAGAGAAGGGGTTAGGGACGCCCGGAGCCCACCCCTCCTCTCCACCCATCCTCGAGAGCTCAGGGACAAGGACCGGTTTGTCTCATCGGCTCTGAAACTGAGGGTGAGGAAGGGGAGGAGGAGGGGTCTGAGCAGCCCCACCAGAATGTCGGGCACCTGTGCCACAGAAAAGGCTGCGTGGAGCCGCTGGATCATTGCCACCCACTCCGAAAAGGAACGGGAAGTCCACCTGCAAAATGGAACGTAAGGGCTCGTCCCCAAAAACAAGGATTATTTCTCAAGTCTTGCAACTTCTCGTAGGTAAGCAAAACACCTCAGGAAGCACCTTAAAAAAAGTTTTGCACAGAAAGGAAATAAGGCAACAACACGTAACCAAAACGGAAGCTGCCCATGTACGACAGGAGCGAATCCTTTCTGTCCTCCTCCCATTTTCTAGTTTAGCTTTTGTCTTTCAAACGCTGCTCCTGGGGGAAATACTTTCCTCCAGCTCTGGGACGTATTATTCAACCAGGGAAGGACAAGACGCCAGGCACGCAGCACGGTTACGAGAAAAGGCAAAGCCCAGCCTTGGCGTGTCAGGAGAGATATTTCCAGGAGGCGCGTGAAGCATTATGCGCCGTATGAGGCCCTGGTAGCCCACTGGTCTCCTGAGCCAGCTGACGAGACTTCAATTTTCAAAAGGGTTTTAAAGCAACGAAGGCAGCATGGGGTAAGTTGCTGCGTTTTATCATTAATCAAAAATGAGTCAGAAGGTGGAAAGTGAAGAATTGGTCTGAGCAGTTGCTTTGTTCCCTAGAAAAGGCCTCGGGAAGGCGGGTGAGCGTTTTTATTAACGAGCGGGTGAGCAGGGAAGGGCAACGGCCCGAGAACAAAGTGTGGGTCAGAACCAGCGGGGGCCGGGGGGAGCTCGGCTGAGGGGAGCGGCGCCTGGCAGCCCTAGAGTTCAGTGTCAACAAACACACGGCGCCGTGAGACCGGGAAGAGGGGAGCAGAGACCTCTCCCCTCCCCCTGCGGCGGGATCTAGAGTTACTGCGTCAACCCACGGCGGGACCGGGCGTCTCCGCGCACGGCTCAGCCGCGGCCTCGGCCCAGCGTGTTGCTGTGGCGGGATATAAAAAGCAAACAC